GCAGAATAACTTCAGGTCCCTGGGAAAAAGAAAATTTTTATTTTCTCATAAGAACACACATATTTTAAGAATTGTAAGGAAAAGCCATCTGGGTAACTAGATTATCTCTACAATAAACTCTTCGCTGCTTTATTTGGTCCTATTTTAAGTGCCTCAGAAAATCAGGCTTCTATCATGTGCCTTGAAATTTTTCTTCCAAACCATTACATATTATTGGTAAGTAGTAACCAATAATCCTCACCACGAGTTTGAAAGTATTCTGTCTGCCCATATGTTACTGATAATTTTATTACTTTTTTTTTACACTATGGCCAGCTTACCAAAATATTTTATGAAGGTTAATGTTCTTACGGGGTAAACAGTAGTTGGCAATGCCTTATGATCCCAGTGAGAATAATAAATAATCCATAAGTTTTCTCTCACTCTTTATCAATTGTAAAATAAACGAATATCTAGGAAAGATCCCCTTTCTTCAGGAGTGTAGGGCAATGGGTGAAGGTGAATTTTGAGAATTCAAGCACTCTTGGCAGTATGACAAATATGTATGGACAGAACAAGGCATAACCAAAAGTGTCCTCCATTCATTGCTACATACCTGACAAGAAAAAAAACATTCTCACCAAGCTCCCTCTGTGGCAGCATGTTACAGTGGAAAACATATAGAACAACAATTCAGAAGACTCAGTGTCCAGTCAGTCTAGGTTCTGCCGGGATCCAATAGTGGGATCATGGGCAAGTCCACTATCCTCTCTCAACCTCCTCTTCAAATTGTATACTACATTGTAGCCAACTCTCCTTACACTTTATGATGTGATGATCAGCATCTAAGAAGAACTTCTAATAAAGGTATGCCTTCTAATAAAGGTATGCTGAAATCCCAATATGCTGTGGCTGAATGACCAAAATTTATAAATCCATTCTTACAGATAAATGTGAAATTTCAGAGTGAGGAATAGTCTTAAGAAAGCTTGGAGAAGTATGACAATGTCTTCATATTACTTTAAAGCCCAGGTTCTGGCAGTACATTCAGTGTAAGGGAAAAATCAACCATTTTTAAGAACAGTGGCGAATCTGATTTGATTTTAGTATAATCTGTGGTAATTCAAAGCTGGAAGTAATAGGGTAGCCAAAACCCCCCAAAAGAGTCTAAGTTCCTTTTATTAGGCCACTTGAAAGGTTTTTTTCTTCTCTTAATGATCCTTAAGGCAAATCTAATTGTATATTTAAAAAACTTGTGTAAATGCATAATTTACATATTTTCTTAACTATTCACTGAAAGGAAAAGCTGACTTATTGTTAAGATGAATAAAATTGTGCTTCACCACAAATGATTAATATATTCAGAAAAATGTCAATGCCCTCAGTTTCCATTCATAACTTATGCTTGCATTATTATACTATCTTCCCTACAGAAATCTTGTTAAGCCACTTGGTCGTTTTATGAATGTTAGTTTGTTTAAACCGGACAATATAATAGGTAATTCCTTAAGCAAACACACGTAAACATTTGTAAGATGCAACTCAATGGCAATGGAAGAAGCGTAGGAAATGCATGTTAATCTCCATACATGGACCACCTACCCTTTCCTTAGGGCACCTCTAAAGGGAAGGACAGGAGACTTGCTGACCCACGAGCAAGAGAGGATGCCAGGATCAGTATATATATCAAATATTTGCAATAGGTTAGTTTCTTCTTCATAATAAAAATGCAAATAGAAGCTTAAATGTTTACGCTCTAGTTAGTAAGCCAAGAGTGTAAATCATGCTAGATACCTCATATCTGCTTGAACATCAACAGGTCTTACTCATGTAGTAGGTACTCAGCTCCATATAAATCCAATGGAGGACTTCGGCTGCTTTTAGATTTGGGTTTTCTCTGAAAACAGCATTTTCCACCATGTTGACTGGATCGTTCCTTCTCCTCTGAGCTTCAACCATTCATAACCTCAGGATAAACAACAACAACAAAAAATACGACTTAAAAACACTTGCTCATCTTGAACACTTATTCTATTTTCAGGTCAAGATAAGCCTCCATCATTCTGGGAGGTGGTGGAAAGAATTGCTCAATGGTAAAAGGTCACACCATTACATCATGCAGTTTAGGGATCTCAAAGTGATTAGTGATATATCTTGGGCATACATTATATCTAAGTTCCTTGTTATTTTCATATTCTTTATACTCTGTCTTAGTCTACTTAGCCTGCCGAAGGCAAAATATCCTAGACTGGGCAGCATACACCATAAAAAACTTATTTATCACAGTTCTGGAGGTTGGGAAGACCAAAATCAGAATATCAATCCCTTTGGTTCCTGGTCAGGGTCCTCACGCTGGCTTGCAGGTGGTCATTTACTCACTGCCTGATAAAATTACCTCTCCTTGGTGAAAGCGTGGGGAAGAAGCAAGTGAGCTCTCTGGTGAACCTAATAAGATACTAATCTTTTCTGACCAGATTCCAACCATTCTGATTTAACTGAACATCAATGACTTGTGTAAGGGCCTTAAGTCAGAGTTCCAACAAGATTCTTGGAGTAGGGCAAACATTCACTCACAATGCAATCAATTTGCATGCTTGCTTTCAACAAATATTTATTGAGTACCTTTTATATGCCTGGTACTATAGCCAAGCTGCTTGCTTAAGCTAAGGTGGGTAACAGCAGACAACAAATGTGTGTGTACAGGTGTGTATGATCATTTGTAGCACACACAAGAAAGGACACACCAAACGGAAACCAAAATTAAGGAAGCAGAGTTGGGGGCTTGAGAGAGGTGGCAATGTTGAAAAAGTGGTCAAGAACTCAGAGATTCCTGAGACTAAATTTCTGATGTAAGTGAGGAAAAACCTTCATAAAAAGCCATAGAGGAAGAAGAGTCCTGGCTCAACATCCAAGAGGCAGAAACATGAGCATGGAAAAATCCTGAAAAAAGCCAGAGGTTGTGTGGCAGAGCGTGGGAGAGGGCAGTAACGAAGGAGGAAAGGACAGTGAAGTGGCAAGAATGTATGGCCTTGAAGGCAAGTCTGTACTGTGTTCCGAGAAAGTGTAGCTTTATTCATTTATTTTTCTCTTGAGCAAAGGATTAGCATGGGTTAGCATACTGTACATACTTCCAAACAGTCACCCTAGATACCATAAAGATAACAGACCCAAGAGTGGAGAAATTTAGAGGTTTTTTCACAAATTCAAATAAGCAATGCTAGTTTGGGGGAAAGTGCTAATGGTGGAGTTTACACCTGGAATGCCGTCTGAATGCTGTCAGGCTATCTAAATGGATTGAATATGAGATATGAAAGAACAACAGATGACCAAAAACCAGAACGACTGGCTCAAAATAATTCTAGGGTTCAAATCAACAAAGGAATCTGAAAGACAAGCCACTTGGAGGATGTCCTGTCCTAGCTCTCCGTATAGCTGCACACTTCCCACAGGTGCAAGCAATCATTTTTTGCACTTATCTCTTCAGCAGCTGTCTGTCTCCCATCCGCATTTGAACTTCTGGGAGGCACAACCTGTACCCATCTGGTTCACCCTTGCATTACTTTTACCATAATTAGTGCTAGGCACTTGATTAAGTACTGCAAAGCAAAGTTTTGAGTACTCTTGAAATTATATCTTATTAGAAGCAATGAAAGAATATGGGATGATTTAAAAGAAAATAACTTTATTAGCTTTCAGCCAAGACTATAAAGATTCTGTTTTCTTGTGTATCTCTTACATAATTTACACTTACACCAAACCGATTTACTAGGGTTTCCATGATCCCTGTGCTCCTAGCTGGTTTCGTGTTAACATTCTTCCAGCAACAGCTTTAGTCTGATCTGACATCATAACTATCCAAACATTTCATCTACTTAACAATTCTTAGAAAAGTATCTTTCCTGCTAAAAATGATAGTTATCATTTATTTTTTATTACTCAAGCTCAAGCAAAGATGGGAAAACTGAAGAGCAAGACCTACAGACAATTCTAGAAGCTTATTTCCAATTATTGTAGACTGCCTCTCACATAAACTTTTATATCGGTTGTTAAAAACTTCAATGGGTGGCCCAGTGGCGCAATGCATAATACGTCTGACTACGCACCAGAATATTCTAAGAGCTCTTCAGATTGATTTTGTTGCATTATATTTGCATTCACCTTCACTCTACAGGGGAAAGTTTTATATATATATATATATATATATATATATATATACACACACATATATATACATATATATATATACACATACATATCAGGGCTAAACAATGGAAAGGTCTAGAAAATGAAATGCATGGTAGTGAACCAGTCTAGACCATTTTGCTCATGAGAAGTTCTGAATTTTTCGGTGGTCACATGCTTATCAGCTTGAGGTAAGGCTAAACTGAATGTGCTGGTTTCTAATACTGATTTTTGCTTTAAAATAAAGTTCCTGCGAGCCTTTGGCTGAGCTGTCCCTAGGCTAAAGGTCGAACGTGCAAACGGCTGCAGTAACGAGGGTCAGTCTTCGGGTAAACTGCACCAGATGACACCCAGTAATGTGCGGTTCGTGATGTCAGCACAACCCATACTCAGGCTCCCGAAGTCCCCAGCTCTAGGTTCCAGAACGCCCAGTCGAGAAACTGACCCTTGACACGGCCACAAACTTTCCTCAGACTCGGCTTCCGTTAGTGTTAAAGGGGAGCCTGGCGCGTCCCTGAGGTGAGCGGCAGCGACGCCTCCGCCGGGAGTGGGGTTGGGAGGGAACCCTTGGGACAGCGTCCCCGGCTGCGGGGCCGCGGGAAGCTGAGCTCCGAGGCTGGGCGCGCCTCGGGCGGCCGGGAGGCGGCGGGGAGGCGGCGGGGAGACGGCCCAGGGCCGCCGGGGCGCCACCCAGATGACTCCCGGGCAGGCCGCGCGGGCGGGGAGCGGCCGCAGCCGCCGCCCCTGGGCAGGAGCGAGGTGGCGACACGGGGGCGGGCTCGGTCGCTCTCCGGCCCGGCTTTACTAAGCCCGCGCCCGGCCTCGGCAGCCCGGCCGCGCCGGAGCCGCCGCCCGTAGTCTCCAGCGTCCTCAGGTAGCGCGGCCACCGCTCCTCAGGGAGGGACGGGTCCGCTTCCCGACGGGTTGGTGGGCCTTGGGCTGAGGGGGTCGGGAGGGTGTCTCTCTGACTACCTTGCGCTCAGCCACCGACTCCGGGACAGCGAGGGCTCGAGGCGTCCCTTTGCGGGGTGACCTGGTTACCTTCCGCTGAACCGCCGGCCGGCAGCGCCGCTGAGGGGGCTCGCTTCCCGGAGGCTCGGGGCTGCTCGGCGCCCTCCCACCTCACGTACGCACACGCACACCCCGGGCAGGGGAGGGGGCCCGGAGGATTAGCGGGGCGGATAAAGTCACACGGCCAGTCAGCGAGGATAAGAACCTGAATGGGACCTGTCCACGCTGTGGTCGGATGAAAGTAGGCGCAGCTTGTGCGGCTCCTCACGTCCGGCCCTCGGCCCTCGGGTGGGGCGGGATTGGTTTCTCTCCTTGCGTCGTCTTTGAAAGCCCGGGCTGTGAAAAGGTTGGGGGGTCAAGAATGAGGAGACTGTGATTCATTCAGGGTTGCTTCGTCCGGCTTTTCAACACTTTCTCTTGGCTCCAGGAGGGGTAGGTTGGAGGACTCATAGAAGTTTGTGGTATATTCCCAGGGAACTTAGTGTGTGGTGTGTGTGTGTGTGTGTGTGTGTTTTAACTTGAGAATTAAAACAATAATAACCATCAAGATAACCCCCTCTTAATTCTAATTGGGCTTTATTAGAGCATAAACTGCTGGTAATGTTATTCAATGTTGAGTCCAGCAGGTGTGTCAGTGTTGAAATGTGTGTTTACTGAGCAGTTTTAGGAAAGTTGATTCCTTGTGTGCCTTTTCCTGTGCTGGAACACTGGGAGGTTTCTCGGGAATCCAGTAGTACCACTTTGAAGTTGGGAACAAGCCCTCTCCTGGGGGGCCCCTGACCTGGGGCAGAACAGGCTCCCTGTACTTTCTGGTTTTGTTAATAGCATTTTGGATGTGCAGTTTTGCTTCCTGGGCTTCCTGCCTTAGTCTCTGCTAAAAGGAAAACTTATCAGAAATATGCCCTAGGCACATTTGGGAGGGAGAAAAAAAAATGATGTGATTTTTGTTCCTGCCGTTAAAGTTCTCACATATTGGCAATTTAAACCCAAAGCATTGTTTACCACCTGTCAGACTTACTCCGAAGCGTAAGGATTAACTAATAAAAGATTTGTAAAATGCTTCCTGAATCTAAAATTCCATAAATATGCTAAATAGTAATAATCCACCCATTGTTAAATTTATGTAGCTTCTTCTGCCATGCATACAAGATGGTGTAGATGCATGTTTCCTGTCAATTAAACAATGAGTTTGGAATAAAATAATGAGTTCAATTCACATTCTATGAAACTTTGAAATAAAATTTCTCCCATAAGGCAGCATCAGCAGAGAATCATATACTAAGCAGTATTTCAAAAAAGCTATGTGTGGAATAGCATTTACCTTATGGTTGGGGGGAAAAGGGACCCAGTGAGCTTCAAACACCAAGGACTATTCAGCCCTAATCTGGTACCAGAACGATACACATTCCCTAACATTTTGGAAGTCCTGTAAAGAAAGCGTGCAGGTTTGGGGGGGACAGCTGTCCACAGTGGCTGTCCACTTTAATCTATGAAATATGCACCTTGGGATTTTAAGGCTGAAGTTCACTCTGTGGTTTTGCTCGTAGACAGTGAGGAAAAACTTCATCATTACTGTGATATGTTATTCTTTCAGTGTCATAGGCTTGCTCTTCAAGCTTAACAACCTCTGTCATTAAGAGCCTACAGTGACATGATAACGTTTGCCTCCTAGCCTGTTTTGTTGTTGTTGTTGTTTTTTAAATTTCTTTTATTTTATTTGAAAGAGTTATAGGAGGAAAGGAAGGGAACAGAAAGGCAGAGAAAATGCTGGTTCACTCTCTGGATGAGTACAGTGGCCTGGCCCAGACCAGGCCACAGCTATGAGCCAGGAGCTTCTTCTCTCACCTGGGTGGAGCAAATTCAAACACGCTGGGCCTGCCTTGGAACCAAGTACCAGTGTGGGAGACCAGGAAGAGGCTCCGGGCTCCCAGCTTCAGATTGGCTCAGCTCTAACTATTGCAGCCATCTGAGGAGTGAAACAGCAGATGGAAGATCTTCCTCTCTGTCTCTCCTCCTCTCTGTATATCTGACTTTCCAATAAAAATAAAATAAATATTAAAAAAAAAAAAAACACGTTAGGCCATTTCCCACTGCTTTTCCCAGGTCATTAGCAGGAAGCTGAATTGGAAGTGGAGCAGCTGGAAAATGAACTGGAACCCCTATGGAATGTTGGTGTCATAGCAGCAGTTACAATGCCACAATGCTCTCTTGGCATGTCATTAATAATAGGCTGTGCTGTGTGCTGTTCTTTTACCAATATCCTCAAGCAAAACTTGTTTTCCATGCTAATTTTTAAGTGTAAACATGTGTATGGTAGTCTTTTCTGTTTTAGTAAGACAACCCTGGATTTTTCACTAGCAGAGTAAGCTGTAAGCAAAACCAAGAAGTTGTCATTTTTTTTTTCTGGAATTTTTCTACTCCAGAAGTCTCTCCTCCCTTTGCTTAAGGCCTCTCAGAAGGACAGTTGCTAAGTAGACCTCAGACCTCAGTCCAGTGTTCTAGAATGCCCGGCTGCCACCATTCCTCCTTTACTCCAGCTACTTAACCTTTGCCTTGTTTTGTCTCAACTTGCCATAGGCATGAGTGAAAATGCATTAGGTGAAAAGTAAGAGCACTTACTGGGCCGCTATATAATACCTGGGCCCTGTGTCACATTAGCTCGTTAAATCCCAATGGCAGCTTGATGCGGTATGTATTTCATATAAAAGGAAACTGAGACTCGAGGAAGCTCTTGTGCCAAAAACCAAGTAGTTTATAAGTAAAATAGCCTGAATTGGAATCAAGGCCATCTGGCATGTTGTGCTGCATGGTAATGTCTAACTCACAGTTCACATTCTGGATTGATACGCCAAAGAGTTCTCCCATTCAGTCACTGGCTATTTGACTCTGGGCCTCTGGTTTCCTTCCTCTAGTTTTAGATTAAATTATCTTTCAGAGATGGAAGGAACTGTTCCAGAATTCTGTTTGCCAAACAGATAAGCTATTCCTCCCACAGGATTCCAGAATATGCTTTCCCCTGCCCTGCCCGTTTCTCTACACCCCACCCTACAGCCTGTTTATCTTTTCTTCCTTCTGGTCTGAGTAAGCCTTACCTTCTCCAGGAGGCTTTTTCTGAACATCCTGTGGTTATTCTCCATCTCAGCCAGCCCTTAGGGAACTCTCAAGTTATTTTGTTTATATTTCAGTTACATGTGGTTGTTGTTTTCAGTCTTCTTATCCATTCCCTGCTTTCTCATCTAAATGTAGGCTGCATAAAGCCAGAGTGCACTTCACCTATTTCACTGTTTTATTTTAAAGCTACTGGTGGTATTGAAAGATGCATTGTTGTAAGTCAATCAGTGTATTTTGAATGAATGATCTCTCATAAAGAACATGCATGAATGACTAATACATTGGCATTTCCTTGCGATAACCCAAATGAAGCACTATTGATCTTATACCATTAGAATGAGTCTAAATTATGAATGTAGATCTGAGTGCAATAATGGAGACAGCAGGGCAGCCTCAGGCCCATAGGACAAATGGACACACAGCACATTATGCAACCCCTATATCTGATAACAGAGAACCAAACCTCAAAATGATATCAGAAACTTGGGTGCAGAAGACACTCAAGAGATCAGCCATTATTTGATGGATGGAAACTGAAGTTCCAAAAATACCAACCAAAAAGCTTAATACTTTTCATCCAGCTCCCTGCTTATGGCCTGGGAAAGCAGCCAAGGATGGCCCAAGCCCTTGGGATCCTGTCCCATGGGGGACCAAGGAGCTTCTGCCTCCTGGTTTCAGATAAGCTTAGCTCCAGCCCTTGCGGCCATTTGGGGAGTGAACCAGTAGATGAAAGATTTTTTCCTCTGTATTTCCCTCTCTCTGTAAATCTACCTTTCAAAAAAATATAAATGAATTAAACGAAAAAAATCTTAAGACCTAAGCCTTCTGACTTCTGTTCACCCAGAGATCAAAACCTTTGTGAGTCCACCCACAAGGTTATATAATCCTATTGCGTGTCGACAGAGTTATGTAGCTTTGGACAGTGCTGTTGTCTTTCATATAGCACAAAAAGCCTTAGGTTGCTCAGATCAATCGTAGATAGAAGCCATAGAACATCCTACATGAATAGTCTGTTTTTAAATTTCTTCTGGCCTGTATAAACTTAAGTGAGTCATTTACTATTTTAATGATCCATCAAGCAGCCTCTTAGTGGTTATCATTAGTTTACCAATTCTCTTTAAATGCTTGGAAGCTTCAAATGGAAAATTTACAGTGCTGAGCATTTAACAGTAGTGTAATAGATTCAAGATACATTTAAATGATGATTGATATTTTCAACTCTGGAGTTTTGGTGGCTTATCTTCAAGGACTTAGAGGATAACTTTTCTAACATAAAGAGGAATCCTTGCCGGAGTACTACATCTCATAAACAAGCAGTTCTGTCCAGTATTAAATGTACAGGCCTACAATTACCCTCAGACAGTTGCATTTTCGGAAATTTTCCAGTCAGATGATCTGAAGATTTCGATATGAGGTCAAGAATAATTTGGGTATGTTTTTATTTTTCCCATGTTATCCCTAAAAAGACTTTTTAAAATTAGCTATTTGGAGAGAATTCAATGTGTTTGAGTCTAGCAGAGAGCAGTGGTGATCAAAATTGTCTTCCCAAGAATGATGTATTGATCAACTTTTTATTACAATAATAGCATACCTGAGACAGACTAACTGATGAATATAAGAGGTTTATTCAGCTCATACTTTTGAAGGCTCAAGGGCATGGCACTTGAATCAGCTTAGTTGTGATGTAAGCCCTTTAGTCTCTGACATATCAGTCCACATGACAATGGCAGCAAAAGTTCACAAATGTCAAAC